CAGCGTCGACATGCTGCTGGAGGAGGTCCGCGCCGGCGACCGGCTGAGTGGGGCCGCGGCCCGGGGCGACGTGCAGGAGGTGCGCCGCCTTCTGCACCGCGAGCTGGTGCACCCCGACGCGCTGAACCGCTTCGGCAAGACGGCGCTGCAGGTGAGGCCCGGCCGGCCCGGGTCAAGACTGGGCGGGGCACCGGGGCGAGCATCGAGATCCCAGAACCCTTCCCTCTTGTCTCCTGGCCTCGGAGGTGACCCGCTGGGGGCCGGTCCTCCTTTTCGGGGCTGAAGTTGTTCCCCGTCTTCTTCTGTAGGTGGCTGGTGGGAGAGGCTAGGCTGGGGGAGGGAGGAGTTGCATCGTCCCGGGAAGATTCCTTGTTCTTTTCCTGCGGGGGATTCTCTGTCTCTGGGGAGGTTTTTATTCGGTGGGTGGGAGTTCAGTTTCTTTGGATCCCGTTTCCATGGGGACGGCGCAGGTTTCTTGTGGCTTCTGTGGGAAGACAGATCTCTGGAAGGAGGGGTCATGTCTTGGGAGGAGGTCTTCGTTTTCTAGGGGTTTCTCTGAAAGCTATCCGGTTACCTGGGGGGAGGTCTTCATTCCTGAAGGTTGTGCGGATTTGGGAGCCCTGAGGGAGAAACGGTGTCAGATTGTATGAGGTTCCTATTGCCAGGAGACATTTTACAAGGGAATCCCATTTCCTGAGGGGGGGTTCAGGTACCCTGAGGAGCCATCCCCATGATATAGGAGGGGGCTATTCCCTGAAGAAAGGGGTTTCAAATTCCCTGGACATCTCCTTTCCTTTGAGAAGACTATCAAGTTCTTTGGGGGCAGTTGTTAGTCTATGGGGGCCCATTTCCTGGAGGGAGGTTTCATATTTCCCGATGACTTCCCATATGGGGGCGATGCTTGTTTTTCTTGGGGGAGGTTTAGGTTCCTTGAAAGTTTTCATGGAGCTATTCTCTGAATTGACGTTCTCATCTTAAATCTTTAAAAAAAATTTTTTTTTATTTTTTATAGAGACCCCTGGCATCCAGCAATCGTCCCAAAATACTGGGATTACAGGCATGAGCCCCAGCCCAGTCGGTCTTTTTTTTTTTGAGTCGGAATCTCACTGTTGCCCAGGCTGGAGCGCAGTGGCACACTCACAGCCACCACAACCTTGATCTGCTGGGCTCAGATGATCCTTCCGCCTCAGCCTTCCAAGTAGCTAGAACCACAGGCGCACACCACTATGCCTGTCTAATTTTTTATTTTTTTAATTGTAGAGATGAGGTCTCGCCAAGTTGTCCAGGCTGGTCTCAAACCTCTGGACTCAGGCAATCCTCTCACCTCTGCCTCCCAAAGTGCTGGGATTACAGGTGTGAGCCACCGTGCCAGGCTCATCTTATTCAGGGAGTGGCCAGCTTCTTGCAGGTCCCTAGTCCCAGGAGAATTTGTTCTGTGGGGTCTCAAACAACTCCCTAGGGGCTTCTGTTTCCTGGGGCTTCTTCATTTCCTAGAAGACTCCTTCTCTGACATTTCTATTCCTGGAAGACCCCCTTCTTTGGATTTCTCTCCAATTACCCCTTTTTCTAGACCTCCTCAGGGACCCCCTGATTCTCTGTCCCCCACAGGCCATGATGTTTGGCAGTACCACCATCGCCCTCGAGCTGCTGAAGCAAGGTGCCAGCCCCAATGTCCAGGACAGCACTGGTGCCAGCCCGGTCCATGACGCTGCCCGCACTGGATTCCTGGATACCCTGAAGGTCCTCATGGAGCATGGGGCTGATGTCAACATGCCTGATGGAACTGGGGCACTCCCCATCCATCTGGCAGTGCAGGAGGGCCACGCTGCCGTGGTCAGCTTTCTGGCTGCTGAATCTGATCTCCATCACAGGGACGCCAGGGGGCTCACACCCCTGGAGCTGGCACAGCAGAGAGGGGCTCAGGGCCTCATGGACATCCTGCAGGGGCACATGGTGGCCCCACTGTGACCTGGGGCCACCCTCACTCTCTCCAGCAAGAGAACCCTGCTGGGTTTCTGTGAGAAGCAGAAGAAGAAACACTTTCTCTTCTCGCTCCTCCTGTCTAAGGGGGGAGGATCCCCAGTTTGTGGCTTATTGGTGTTGATTTCTGGGGTATGTGTGTTTGGGGGACGTTTCTCATTTGTTTTTCTCACCCCTTTTGGTGTGTTGGACAGAGAAGGGCTCCAGCAGGCAACAGCCATCTAAACGGTTCAGTTTCCTCTGCACCCCAGGCAGCTGGGGCCGCAGATGAGACCCAAGGGCAGAGCATTTAAAGCCCCAACTCCAGAGTGAGGTCATCGCCTTCAGGGCTCGTGGAACCTGGAGACCTTGGCCGGCTGTTCTCATAGAGATCTGAAGTGTGCACGCTTCGGGTGTGGGGGGAGGGGGGAGCGTTCCAAATCAGCCAGAAGGCAGCATGAGTTCATTCATATTTTGTTGGAAGCTTGTTTTCCAGTCTCTTGTACAGCGTTTTAAAAGAAATGGATTCTATTTATTATGCTTTATGGAAAAATTGTTGTGCGTGATAATTTAATGTTTTTACCCATTAAATTAAGACTTGTGCATGATCACAGCGTTGGTGGATACCGATTGTCGTGTCTGGGAGGGGGAGTCGCACATCTAGGTGGGGGTGAGCGCCGGGGTCCCGAATCGTGGATGCGGTGGGGGAAAGGGAGGGAGCGGTAATTCCCAGGATGCCAGGGTGAGTGAACTGGGTGGGGCAGCGGTTTGCGCTGTCGGAACGGAAAGGAGGCAGGAAACCGCGAGTGTAGAAAGGGCCCCCAGATGTCAGCTGGGTGCCGGGAGCCCCAAGGGTGGGGCGGTGGGCGGTGGCCGCGGACTTCCCCGCAGGGGCGTAGCCTGTGGGCGGGGACT